GAGTTAGTTTTTGCAAGGGCAGCTAGTTAGCTGTTTCGTGTTTTTTTTGTGAAGTGCAAGTTTTTGGAGGGTACTTCGTTTTCGATGGCAGTTGCAAAGCGAAGCTGCATTGCTGTCATATGTTTTCCATTCCCATAGTCGGAGTGCTGGTTGGTCCTTCGGTCTAGCATGCTCTAACACAGGCCAGGTATGTATTCACACAAGGCCACGCTCAAAATGAGATTCCCATGGAATCACAAACCCAAGCCGTCAAATCACATTTGAATTCCCTGGCGGCCCCCGATAATGTTTGCTCTCTCTTCAGATGCTGACCACGCAAGGTTTGCATCCTTGATGGTGGAACCCTCGTTCTCCTTCAAGTACTTGCGAACCTCACATCGAACACACATATTCAAAATACAGTTGAATTTGTGCGTGTGACCTATATGTGTGTTACCAAAAAGAAACACAAGCTATATAAGTGTGAAAAGAGAAACGAAGTTCCAACGTGCGTCATGCATCACGGACGGTTTCTTATCAGCATCCTTCTCCTTGGGTGGGGCTGCTTCGGACTTTGCTTCCCCACGAAGCACCTCATTTGAATGTATGTTGGAAAAAATCTATTGAGGCCAAAAAACACAACACAACACTACACAAAAACCTTCACAAACAATTCACACAATGCCATAAAGACACACCTTTCGCCGAGTATTTGCTGTGCCATGCCCGGGAATTTACACGTTTGCTCTCTGCACGATCATCAAGGATTTGTTGCTTGGATGCTGGACTCATATCCTCAGGGATGCGCTTTGCCTTCGCCTTCGGTGCACCGGGCGCACGCTCTGCCAGGGGCTCCTAAGTGCCAAAGAAAAAACATACCTCTCATGTATATTGAGCCACCAAAACTATAAACACACTTGTAAAAAATGTTAGGTTTCATAAGAGCTAGTATCAGGCTCTTGACGGCCTTTGCGTTTGCGAGAGGGAACTTCTGCTGGAACCTGTGGCCGGGTTTGCTCATCCTTTGGTCAGAACAAAATACAACAACACACGTTGTTTAAACGGTCTTGTTTTGAACAACACCCAAGATTTGTGTTTGGCAAAGGTGGAACCTCATCTTTGGTTGTAGCAGGCATTGCCGTCTCTCCTTCACGAAGCCCAGAAGAAGCAGAAACCACGCCGGTATTCTTTGCAGTGTTGTCTTGGTCATTTTGTTCCTCATGGTCAGAAAATTTGATGTTAATGAGTTTGTACTAAGTAATATTTTATTTAAAAAGTGTTTGCGCACCAAAAACTGTTCACACATTGACACACTTCCAAAACATCAGAGTGTCTTCAACACAGTGTTCAGGAGAAGAGATATATCCATCCATAAAGACACAACAACCAGCTGCGTTAGATTCCTGGCGTCTTCGTTGTGCATTTGCCTCTCGCAATCTGAGAGGGTCAAACACGAACTTGGAAACAACCTTGGCCTCCTTGGTGGGTGTCTCGGGAGGAATCTGCACCTGAGAATCGAAGTCCATTTGGGTGTCCTCACAAAGTGGGTGCAAATCAATCTTCTTGTCGGCGCTGACCTGGTCCTTGTCGTCTAGCAAGTCACTAGCGTCGACATTCAAAGTACCAGGTTGGCTGTCCTCAACCATGTCTTGGGTCATTGAGCTGAGAGGACCATCTCCATCCAGCTCATTGTTCCAATTCTTGTCAAAGAAGGCATAGTCTTGCTTGGCATAGTCGGTCTGATCATGTTCCTGAAACAGGCCCTTGACAACTGAGTCCTTTCGTCGCAAAGGTCGGGCAACTTGGTCTGGAACTGCCTCGGGTTTAGGTTATTGGTTGAAAATTGAAACCAAAGTAGCAAATGATCAAACATAAAATAAAACAGCTTAACTTGAAAAAGTTGAAACCCATGGATTCTTTATTTGAAGACACAAGGCAGGAACAGGGTGAGCACGAAGCATATACTTGTCTAACGCCGAGCTGGGTTGGAAAGAGCATACTGGCATCACCTCATCACCCTTCCGAAGCAACATTGAAGCAGCATCAGGAGCTAGCATTGCCTGTGATTCCGTAGGCAACTCCCCTGCGTGGCTTACAGGTGGACAAACATCATCTGCAAGCACACCTTGCTTCTGCAAATGCTTTCGCATGAGATGCATGTCTCCTGACGTTGATGCCTTTCCGCCGAGATTCGTGGTAGCTTTCGCATCCATGGTTTCTCGAACGCGAGTTGAAACACGATAAACAAGGGGCAAACAAAATGCTTGATTAAATACAATGATATGCATCATTCCTGTCTACACACTACACACCGCCAATCTTGCCAAACACCACATGTGAACACTTTGATTTGGAATCCGATGGATTGCAGGTGCATCATTTTCTCCCATCAACATCACGTCACCGTCACAGTCTGCCGGATCATCTCAGACGATCTGATAGTGCATGCCAGGTTCCATAAGAAACCCGCCGCCTTTGATGAACCAAAGCGGCTTCGCTGGTCCCAGGACTTTGTCCCGTGCGTAATGTCGCATGCCTTTGTTTCTCCAGGGATTCCTTGTTCATCATCACAAACAGTCCCCAGTCCAACCAACAAAGTAAAAGGATATACAATCTTGCATCTAAGTAACGCCACACGAGCGTCAAGTACTGCGATGAGCTGAGCGCCTTGTAGCCGATGAGGCCAGCCAAGTTGGTTTGCTTGGCTGTTTTCAATGCCACTTGCCCTGGTTTGAAAACCGAGTAGGTCTCGTGGATCACGTCGATCCTATCGGCAGATTCGCCACGCTTTACGTCTGGTGGTCTGTCAATCTTGTGTCCTGTCAGCTTCAGGTCCAGCAGACCACGCTTCTCAAGCTGGACAATCAGCGTGAACAGGGATGATGGAGGTCCATCTGAAGCACCTTGCGTCCCCTGCTCCTCAAGGACCACCTTTGGAGCTATACAAACAAAATTGACCAACCCCAAACCCAAGATAACATGTTGACAACTCCAAACCTTGGACTCTCCGGATTCCAAGCGAAACTCCACAGCTTTGTTCTGGTTCTCAGCCTTGCTAATGTAGTCTTTTGCCTGCCATTGCATCAACCAATCTGAACCACTTTAACTTACAGTAGTTGGCAAGTGTTGAAAACGTTGGAACCTTTGAACACCCTCGCCTTCGAGGAGTCTCCCAACCATGATCCAGCGGAGTAAAGGAAGATTGGGCATGGGTTCGAACTGTCAACGCCAACCAATCGGATCTTGTGTGTTGGCGAGGACACAAAAACCTTTCCATCAACAAACATGCACAAAACGGTTTGTCCAGCCATGTTCAAATTGCAAGTGGCTGCAACGGTTGGGAATTGCTGCTCAAATTTCTCCTTTGACAAAGCCGATGGGGTTGGGCAATCGCTGACCGCAGATGCATGTGTCACCGTCGCTGCTTGCCCTTCGACGCCTAGGTCAATCTCAGCAGCAGCAGCGGGGGTAGGTTCTGTCCTGGCGTCAGCCCTTGGCTTGAAGACGTCATCGAAGTTCTTCAGCCGAACTCTCCAATCAGGATCTTAGCTTGGCTTGGGGGGGTTGATGTGAAAACCTGTAAACTTACCACCCACTAAATGAAGAAATGAGAAAGAATGGAAGTTCAACAACCTGACCAAGAGACTTCGCACAGGGTCCGAGAGCCACTTCTGCCTATCGGCCTCCGCAATCTTTAGATGGCCATCGGAGTCCATGACGCACATCTTCAAGAGTGGAAGCTTCGGGGATGTAAACTCGGCAACATCTGCTTCCTTCATGAACTTCGGTGTCATCAGGCCGACCAGGTTGGCTCCTTGCTTCCATTCCTTCTCAGGGAAAATATATAACATATCAAAACCATTCCTGGACAGTCAACATGTGTTTCTCCCAACCCCTGCCTCCAAAAGCTTGTCCTTCACGGTGGTAACAGCGTGCTCAAAAACATTTTGCTGGGAGCACTGGGAGAAAAGTCCCAAGTAGCAGCTCTCACTCAATTCCATCATCATGTCCAGCACGACCTGGCAAGGCAAAGTTTCTTACAACTCTTTGTTGAAGCCTTTCAACCACTTTAAACATTTACCAACTCCTGCCTTCTCGAGATTTCCATCGTAGCACGTGTAGTGATGAATGATACACCCCTGTTGCTTCATGGTTGAGACTCGGCTGAGTGCTGCTTCCAGAATGGCCTTGATGGTGCCTGGCGCCGACACCCACTGCGCCGTTTCTTCTTTGTCCTGAACGTGGTGCACCATGCAGTTTTGTTCAACATTTGGAATGCCCGAGTTTACAAATGTCAAATGACAAATAAAATAATATATAATGGTGGCAAGCTTCTGTTGGGCTTCGGCCTTGCTCATGGGTGAACAGCGTACCACTTTCTGGCGTGGAATACTCGCCTGGGCACAGAGAACCAAACAAGGTCCTTCAGCAAGCCCCACAACACCAAGGATGGTTTTACAACATTCAAGAAATATGAAACACTTACCAAGAAAGTGAGTGGCTGGGCTGCATTGGCGTTGACACCTTGCAGGAATGGTACGACCACAGGTCATTCCTGCAGAAAGTATTGGTGTCGGCCAATGGCCTGTCACTCCCACGTGGAGCCTTGAACAGCGTGCCTTGGCGAGAGCCTAATGTTGTATCGAGCACGATCATCCAACCAGGAAGACATTGCGGGAACGTCCTGGAGTTTTCAGGGAATTCGGAATAGTTGAAGTTACATATGCATTCCAGGTGAGGGGATTTGTTTTGAAATCCTTGAGGTTAATTGAACAAACCCAACATGCTCCTGTTCCCGTGCATGCTGCTGACGTCAAATGGAATGCTGCAGGTCTTGCATTCCATTCCGTTGTCCACCAGCTTGTCCTCAATTCTACGCATCTCGCCGCGTAGACCACCAAGCACACCCTCGCTGGCAAGCAAGGGTGCCACTGCGAAGACCATGCCTGCGACTGCAGCTGTTTGGTTATTGCTTGATGATGCGAGATGTGAGTTTCTTTTATTACATGTGTCAAGTTACTGTAGTTCTCGTTCTGATGCAAAATTTGCTTGCACCAATCAACAGCAGCATTGATCTCAACCATTGTCAACCTGCCGAACTTGCTAAAGTCAATGAAGCCCACGTGGTGCATCTTGGTCAATTCCACTGGGGCACTGAAGCGGTTGGTGCCATCGGCTACCATGCGCCGTTGCATGGCTGCCAAGCCCTGACCCTTGTCTCCTACGACCATCAAAGCTCTTTTCTGCATGAACTGAGTGACGACGTCCAAGCCGATCTCGATTTGGTCTCTCATGTGCAATACCTTGAACTCAAACACCGAACACACAACCCCCACATACAGCAGGGCCAAACCATATGCAAACACACATATATAACTATAATATATATATATATTGCATTATGTTATATTACATTATATTATATCATATTCTTTTAGATACCACATTATGAATATTGAATAAATAATATTTGTATTTATGTATAATGTGTATCTTTTGAAAAGCTGCTTGTGCCACATGCTTGCTTCCCTCCACCTTGTGCCGCCTAAGGTTGTAGGCCACAGCTTCCCGGTAATCGTGAGCCAGGTTGGCACATGCCATCTTGTACTCTGCAGCCTTCAAGTGCTCCTGTGCAACATGATAAGACATGGTTGATTTGTAAACTGCGTTGTTCGTTTTAAAATTTAACATTTTGAGCATCAATCCTCCGCATCTTCAATTTCCGCTGGAGTGTCCCCGCTGGTGCAAGCTGGAGCGCCTTGTGCCAACGTCCGTCCAATGTAGTCCTGCCACATCGCCAATTTCTCAACTGTGAATCGGGTTGGCTTGCTCAGCAAGATGGCTTCCAGGTCTTGATTGTAGTCCCTAGGGGCACAAACCCAACAGAATAGAGCTATGTATGCACAAGAACAGCAAAGACTATACAGAAACAAGAAAAAGTACAAAACAAAACACAACACAACAATCTGAATTCTTTCAAGGATCCCGTTCAAAAAGGCGGAGATCATGTTATCGATCATCTCTTCAGTCACCTCGGAGGCTGAGATTTGAAACTTGTTGATGAAAAAGATGGGGGTTCAACATAGTCAAAACTTAAGTCAAGAGCCAGCACAAAGACAAAAGGCATAAGCATAAACCAAAAACACTTCATTGAAAATAGGGCACGCGTGGATTCTTCCTTGTCTCATTCACCGCCCACACACACAGGCAAGCCATGTCAACGGCCCGCCCCCACACCTCCTCACCCCAGCGGAGACGTGAGCGCATGCTGCGTTTCACCCTTTTCGAGTTGTTGTTCCACCACTGGTTGTACCTCTTGAAGTGAAGCACTTGCGCCTCCTTGGTCACCTTTGTCAAAAATGTGGACATTGCTCAGCAAAGTAGACACTAATGGGCCACCAATCACCAAAAAAGAACTGTTTGAATGTAATTAATGTCAAAGTGTCCGTCAAGCGGTCAATCCACTCAGCAGGAATGCCTTTGGGGCACTCATTCAGCTGATGGCGTTTGCTGCGGAGCAATGACTCATTGTACCCTGAAAGTTTTCAGTGTCTGAACATAAACCCCTTGTTTTGTATTAAAAAATTCACTACTGTTGAGAACAAGAATGAAAGAACCAGAAACATCTTGCCATTTATTCTCAAAGAAACCGGACTCTTCATACTTGTTGAAATCCAAGTGCTGCCGAACAAGGGATCGAGCCTCTGTCGACATTCCTGATATTATGCCAAAAATGGCAGACTGCGCGTCACCGTTTAGCTGCCACAGCTTCAGCGCAGCGTTGGCTTTGAAGGAGTTGTATCGCTGGATCAGCATGGAAAGGATCTCTTCATCTGACTGGTCTTTGCATTCCGCGCACTGGCGGCGCTGCTGAATCAGTAGTTCAAACCGAGCTGCAAGCTTCATTACCTTGGGTTGAACAGCTTTGAGCTCAAACGCAAACCAATTGGTGTATCCGTGCACTGGGGTTCCTCGTATAACCTTGTTGAGAAAATAACAAAAGCAATCCAGTGACATCTTTACGCTGCCGTTCAGCGCCTTGACAGCTGAGCTGTATGTTCTCAAAACTGTGCGTCTCGGTGTCGCCTGTCTTGCTGATCGTGCATGGCAAATTGCACATTCCACCAATCGCCGCAAGCAATGGAAGAATTAGCTCCTGCTGAACAACAAACAGAAAACATTTATTGTAGGGGTTCTCCTTTTGGGTGCCAATGTCCTTCCCAGCAATGGGATCCAGGTCGCTGGCAATCATGAGCAACAGCAAGGGCGCTGTCCTCAAACCACAGTTCTGCCAAAACAAACATGAAGGCACTATGCACCAACATACAAACACAAAATGTTGATCTATTTCTTCGAGCTTCAATCTTGTAAATCCATTCTTCAGAGTAAACGTGTGAGTGCCATCTGGGGTCTTGGTCAAAGCGACATCTAGAGGCTCTCTGTGGAGCCTGGATCCTGAAAACAAGAATGACAGGCATGTGGTGGTGAAGTCACCAATGCAAGGATATCCATCAGGAGGCGGCTTCAAATCGATTGCGGCAAGGGGAAGGTAAGCAATCATGTTCTCTGAATCCACACCGGACATGTCCTTGATGTCTCCCATCAAAAACATTATCTAAAACTTGGGCGGCTTGGATAAAGCTAAACATGCACAAAAAAAGTTGTAGTCAAGATGCTGGTACTGTCGCCACCTCAAATTTGCGACCATGTACTGTGTGCACTTCTTGCAGGAAATGATGTAGTTTTTCGCACGTTGCACGCGAACCTTCTGCGCTCTTGAAGGCATCCATCACGAAAGAAACTGGGTGCATGTGTGGGCTGCTTGACTCTGAGGGCTCCATGAACTGTGACAGGTAGTCTAAAATATCCTGAGTGTTTGATAGTAATTAACCTTCATGGTCATAGTCAATTGTTTTTTCCCTCCAACAAATTAAACACATAAAATTTTTCTGTTGCTGTCTCGACACTTTCACCAATGTCACATCTCCTGGGAGCTTTGTCAATCCAGCCTGCCACTCTGACTTGCGTTTCTTCGCAGAAGATTCCTGGTTTGATCAAACATCACATTTCTTTGTTCAACAAAGAGGTCAAAAAGAAACTACATGTCATATAGCGTACATAGTGTCCTACAAATTCTTGCAATATGTGTGGTCAAGACACTGTCACTGTCTCATCTTTGACTTTCACTTTCATCTCTTCTTTCTTTGGTGTCTCGGTCTTCGGGCTCGAAGCAGCTGCATCCACCATTGCCTGCAGCATGGGAGATTCCATACTGTTCAAAAATTGTGTGTCACAATTATATATTGTATATAATATGTCGCTGTACACACAAAAACGTGTTGACGGGAGTCCATCCCTATAAGAATAGAGCCACAAGTTAAAGCTTATTTATTGAAAAGCAACGCTGGGAAGTCCCATGAACATTGTCAAGGGTGGGGATTGGATCCCAGAAAATCGTCGTGGGTGGGGGTTGGATCCCAGAAAATCGTCGTGGGTGGGGGTTGGATCCCAGAAAATCGTCGTGGGTGGGGGTTGGATCCCCAAAAGTCGTCCTGGGTGGGGGTTGGATCCCAGAGATTCGTCGTTGCTCGGGTGCCGACCCACAAAGAAAATTTCTAATCATACAGGCGCACGTTTTTGATCAGACCCACAACGACTTTGATCGATGCTAAAATCTATAATTTCGTCGTTGCTCGGGTGCCGACCCACAAAGAAATTATATAAGCTTAGTAAGCCCACAACGAAAACGCACTTTTGATCAAACCCCGATTTCGGTGTGGGTCTACTAAAGTCTTTATGATTCGTCGTTGTTCGGCACCCGAACCACAACGAAATTATAGATTTTAGCATCGATCAAAGTCGGCGTGGGTCTGATAGGTTTGGACACGTATAAAGTCATCAAAAGTTCTCAAAGTCGAGACTTCAGCGTCCTTTGGTCCTATCATTCAGGTGTCAGCACACCTGTGAATTGTGAATTGCACCACACTCACTTCGCTTCTCCGTCGAAGCTTCAACTTCACCGCCTCAGACGGTCATATGTATAGTTGCATGTTTGTGAAATACATACTGCTGTTTACTGGGTTGAAGAGGTCTGTCATCCAAGCGCCATTTTCACCTCAGGTGAACCTGCTGCAACTGCATGTGAGTAAATGGCTCTCCTTTGGAGATGAAAGGATCTGGGTTGGAAGTGGTTGGAAACTAGAATCAACAGAAAAGGAACTTGATCAAAGAAAACACAGTCAACTGTTGTGTGTGAAAGGTGGTGGGCCCATTGCACAAATCAAACCTGCGAGCACTTGCACCTTGCCAGCTCCTTTGAGTCAGGGCAAATGGATTAAAATTATCTATCGTCCACGTCGCCAAATCGCTCTCAATGGCACGCTGGGACAAAGCACCGCGAGAACTGTAGGGTGTGGCTCCATGCGAGCCTGCGGCAGATTTTCAGCAACAGCATGTGCCTCAAGAAAAGGAAGCGGATGAAGTGGATGTCGTTCCAGCTCATTGTTGGCCAATGCTCGAAGATATCGAGCAGCCTTTCTACTTGAGTAGGTCCCTCCCTGAAGCTCCTCAAAGATTGATGCAAGCTCACGCCAGCCATTTGTAACCTTGTCCGCCAAAGGTCTTGGAGGCATCTCACCTGTCACACTGTGTTTCGATGTCCTGTGGTTTACTTAGTGTAGAAAAACTATGGATACAAAACCAAGAATACAAAACATACAGCAAATCAAAAAGAAAGTCACGAGACGTTGTAAGTGGAAAAGTCATCCTGGCTTCAGACGTCAGGGCAAGTAACGGCTGTTGCCTCAGTTCAATGCTAGCTATGTACTCTTTGACCACCACAAAGACGTCATCTGGCAGTTTTGGTCTGTTCTTTTTGGTGCCTTCATCCACGTTGAGCCCAGGTGGCAAATCTATCAGGGGCTGAATTCAAACATGCAATTCAATGTTTCAATACGACAATCATCAGTCGGCCCGTGACCCCTCCCACTGGCCTTTCCTCTGGCAAAATAGAAAGAAATGGTTGGCAGTCTTGTCCAAGAGAAGTCCACCTGCCTTGATTGTACCATGTTTTGTGTTTTGTTTGTAACTATGGTGAAAACCAAGTCGTGACAAAATTGCAAAACCATGTGCCAAACATTTGCTTTCAAAGAGAGCTGCAAAGCTGACTGGGCAAAGTTCATCTGTGTGCGCCTTCCAGTTTCGATAGTTGCGCAAGCAGTGCACAATTACTTTCGCACCATTGAGGAAGGCTGATAGGCCGGGCTTTTCCAACTCATTTTTGACAATGGAGGCAACGGAGTCCGTGTCCAACATGCTGCTAGTTCTGCGCAGTCTTCTGGAGAGTACTCCCCATAATTGGTCTCACTTGCCATAAAAAGATCAACTGAATCGGAATCAAGTTGTGGCCCCACATTCTTTCACTGTCGGGGATTTGGGCAAAAAACGTTTGAAACACCATACCAAGCAAAGCTGCCAATAATGTCGTGTGTGTGGGACACACGGAGCATGCACAGGCAACTGAACCTGGGTCACACCAGGCTATCAAAAAATGCCCCATAGAAGCTGAGTGTTTACATCCCCAACCTGAGGACAGTTTGCAAAACTTGCCCAAATCAAACATAGAGATGATCCTTTCTTGAATGCAACGTTGAAAGTCAAAGATACTTCAAGCATACCTGGATGCAGTTAAAGGACTTGAATTTTCTATGCAGGATTAAAGAAGCTGCAAATGTCAGGTTGTATGAGTTCTTGAGCTCCTTTACGGTGTTGTCACCGCACACCACTAGGGTGTCCGGTGCTGGAGCACCTTTTCGCTGGCATTCACTGATAACATCTTCTATGGTGAGGGCCAAAAGTTCTTGAATCATGCTTGATCCAGCAAATGATGACTCCTCCACAATGGCGATGCGCAAAACGTGTCCGAAAGCCCATGCTCCGTGGAGCTTGAGCTTTGGCCGTTGTTGTTTCGCAGCTCTGTGGGCGACCCTCAGGTCTGGGTCCCGTGGTATGTTGTATTTTGCCTCATCACACTAAGGTATGCGCACAGCAGGACAATCATCGTGCCACAAACCATCAAAAATGCAAAATGGCTCCAGAAATTCAACATCAAGTGTCTTGGTCCGTGCCGTCCGTACAGATGGTCAAGCATTTGCTGAATTGATCGCTGGAAACATCCTTCAGCGTCCACACGGAGCACCGGTCGTTGTATTGGGCTATCAGGTGTTGTCTGTACAGCTTTAAGGCGCCCAACCGCTTGGCCATGTCAATCTGTCTGTTAGAGAACCTTGCTGCGCTTTCAAGATTACCTACAACTTGACATTTGCAGCGTCACTGATCCTACATAACAAGTTCAAGTCCTTCAACTGCATCCAGGTATGCTTGAAGTATCTTTGACTTTCCACGTTGCATTCAAGAAAGGATCATCTCTGTATTTGATGAAACGTATCAAGCTTTAAAGGTAAGGTAAGCAAATAGAAAAGGATAAGGATACAGCGTATTTGTACCACACACACACACACACTCAGAAAAATGCAACATGTTCTGTGGCAAAGACAGACGGCCTATTGCAAAATGTAAAGAAAAGTTATCGATCAATCCAAGAAAAAGATTTGTGATAATGGCTAAGGGTCTACGTTATTACCAGTCAAAGCCAGAAAAAGTTCTATGACAAAGAGTGAAGGCTCTGCGATTTTAACTCCTGGCAGATATCGCACTGCGAGAATGTGGTCTTGTCTCTGAACTTGAGAACCGTTGTCCACTTCTCCTTGAACCGGCGCAAAAATGTCAGATACCTCAGTGAATCTTCTTCAGCCAAAATTGGGGCTTTAAAATTAGAGACAATGTGTTCTCATTAATCAGGAAAGGAACGATGCGCGCGCTTGCACTTCGTGGGCTCCACACCATTCAGAATAGAACTGATGCAACTCCCACACATTGCCGGGTGGCATGTACTTTCGCACAAGCGGGGACAGGTCCTTCATGCTCATGTGAACAAACTGTGTAGGTTAAGAAAGTTGTTTTTCCAAAATATATGTTGCCCTTGAGACTACAAGCAGGACATGACACAACATAAACAACATATCACAAAAAAAATTATGGAAGACATTAACAGAAAGGTGCTGTAAAAGCTCCAGTCTTGGTCATGTTGAGCAGGAAACTTGTATTGCTTTCAAGGTGATGGAACAGCTTCTCGTCGGTCTCAGTGGCTTCATCGGGATCAGACTGGAATATAATTCCCTCTTCCCATTGATCACTATCTTCAGGAACGTCGTGTTTCCTCTTGTAGAGCTGCTGACGCACAAACCTGATTTGAAGAAATAAAGAAAACTGCTGAATGGCAAGGGCTCAAAGGATAAATAAAATACTTTATGGG